CCCCCCCCCCCCCACATGCGAGGCGGCCTGCGCCGCCACGCTGGTCGCGATGTCCCAGGCTGCAGCGGGTCCTGAGACGAGGCGGCCTGCGCCGCCACGCTGGTCGCGATGTCCCAGGCTGCAGCGAGACGAGGAGGAGAAGGACGAGGAAGATGAGGAGGATAAGGATGAGGAGGAGGAGGAGGAGGAAGGAGGAAGGGGGAGGAGGAGAATGAGGAGGAGAAGGAGGAGGGAGAGGAGGAGGAAGAGGAGGAGGAGGAGGAGGAGGAGGAGCGGGAGCGGTGAGGGACGGGGGACAGGGGGGGGAGTCAGGGAGGGGGAGGAGGGAGGATAAAGGTGGGAGGGTGGAGGACTAACGGTCCTGGGACCTGCTGCTGCTGCTGCTGCTGCTGCTGGGCGCGCCGCCGCGCCGCCATCTGCAGCGCGACGTCGCAGCGGCGCTGCAGCTCCTGCAGCTCTGGCGCCTTGCGCCCGCCGTCGGCGCCGTTCGCCTGGATCGCCTCCATGGCGGCGGCGTGGGCGCCCTTGATCATGTCAGATCGGCCTGTCACGACGAGCTCACGACCAGCACCCCGACCGCGGTTCCGCGTCGAAACCGAGCACTTATGGTCGGCCAGAATATCTTTTCTCTGGGCCGACGTGATCGTACCGCTGTCTATACAAGTTTTAGCGGTAGCGATCGGGCCGAGGGACGAGGGCCCAAAAACGGGGTCTCCGTCGCCGCCGTCGATCATGCCCGCCACGCGGGGGCGGGCGCGCGCTGGCGGTCGATCCGACGACCCGCCGTTGCGCCGACACGGCAACGGCGAAGGGACAGAGGGCAGGGCAGTAGCAACAGCAGCGGAGGAGGAGGAGAAGGAGGAGGAGGGAAGGGTACAGGGGAGGAGGAGGAGAGGCAGGAGAAGTAGGAAGAGGGGATCGGATGGGAACGCCGCCCGCAGGCTGAAACCTGGACATCGCGGCCAGCGGCGGCGCCGCCGCGCTGCCCCTATCTCCCTGCCCCTTCTTTTGGCTTACAAAACCCTGGGGATATCCTGGAAGTTTTGGGGCCTGGGGGACCACGGGAGAGGGGGTGGGAACCTCAGCTAGCTTTCTGGGCGGTGGGCGTGGGAAATAGTTGTTTCATATATTATTGTAGAACACGCGCAACTGAACGCAACTCTCACGTATATTTCCATAAGTTGTTATAGCTGAGTTACGCCTTCTAGCATGTAGATCACATAACTCAGATGCTAGAACTGCTAACCCAATACAAGTTGGTATGGAGGTTCCATATCTCAGCTTCAGATATACAACTTCTATGATGCGATCTACCAAAGTTAGCCTCTCTATACAAGGATTTACGGTCTCTACAGAAGGATGTATAACAAACCTATAGAAAACGCAGACGGAAAAATCACACAGCAAGCGCCGGAACGCCCGGACGCCCGGACACGCCCGGACGCCCGGGCGCCCGGGCGCCCAGCGGGCCTGGCCCGGGCGCCAGAAGCACCCAGGGCGCCCGCGCCCGGACGCCCGGACGCCCGGACGCCCGGGCGCCTGGACGCCTGGGCGCCCGGGCGCCTGGACACCCAAGCGCCCGGGCGCCCGGGCACCTGAAGCGCCCTGACGCACGGACGCCCCCAATGGGCGCCCAATCGCCCAGACGCCCAGCGGGCCACGCCCAGGAAACGCCTGGAGTATAGGTGGTACTTTGCGGGTGCCTCCATGTAGCACATTTGGAAGTCACATGCATGCCGACATATAACTACGACAACCCATCGTATAACCCAGAAGAAAGTATCCCGGCAAAGCAACCTAACAGCGATGTGTATAAGCATATCTGGAAGCATCCCCCTTAAGATTCAGGTGGGAATCCAGTTGTAGAATTCTGCTGTTCTCGCAGTCGCAGTCGCATTCGCAATGAAAGTCGCAGTGGCAACGGCCTTAGGATCCAATGGAATCCAATCGAATCCTAAGGATTCCGAGGGATTCCTAAGGCATCCTTAGGCATCCTTAGGAGTCCATAGGAATCCTTGGGAAACCTTTGGAATCCTGATTCCTAGGGATTCCTTGGGATTCCTCAGGATTCCTAAGGAATCCTGAGGATTCCGAAGGATTCGCCTGCCTCGGCCTCAGCGTCAGCCTGCCTCAGCCTCAGCCTCAGCCTGTCTCAGTCTCAGCCTGCCTCAGCCTCAGCCTCAGCCTCAGCCTCAGCCTGCCTCGGCCTGCCTCGGCCTCAGCCTCAGCCTGCCTCGGCCTCAACCTCAGCCTCAGCCTGCCTCAGCCTCAGCCTCAGCCTGCCTCAGCCTCAGCCTGCATCAGCCTCAGCCTCAGCCTGCCTCAGCCGCAGCTTGCCTCAGCCACAGCCTCAGCCTCAGCCTCAGCCTCAGCCTGCCTCAGCTTCAGCCTCAGCCTCAGCCTGCCTCGGCCGCAGCCTCAGCCTCAGCCTCAGCCTGCCTCGGCCTCAGCCTCAGCCTGCCTCAGCCTCAGCGTCAGCCTCCCAGCCCCAGCCTGCATCAGCCTCAGCCTCAGCCTCAGCCTGCCTCAGCCTCAGCCTGCCTCAGCCTCAGCCTGCCTCAGCCTCAGCCTCAGC